TCATCAATGGGTTTCATTGTGGCCACGTGAACAGTCAGGCACTCCCCAACCCACAGTCACCTGTGCTCTGTCAAAGTATTCGCAATTGCATGGCGCAGATGAAAGGGATAGGGTTGCGCTCTGCGTGTCAACCACTGTCCTGCACTGTCCTTGCCTACCAAAACAATGTGTTTGCGATTTGAAAATGAACAACGTCCATGCTGTGGCACACACTCGCGCGCTAAGTGAAGGAGAGAGAAGGGTCCCCCAAAGAGGATTCCAGTTGCTTTGCGCCAGGGCATGTGATAAGCACAAAAGTCAATTCGCATGAGAGTGAATCGATCGGCAAGTTGTTTCAGGTATGGTGTTAGCCAGATTCGGCTAGACCAGGGGTTCTCAATCGCCCAACACAAGTTCAAAGCAATGCATGTGGAGATGATTTGTTCAGACACACTGAGAAGGCTGTTGCCATCTTGTATTTTGCGTTTGTCTGAAAAACTCAAGTCATCAAAGCCAAATAAATTCTGCTCATCATCTCTCAGAGGGGGGGACCCCCATCATGCTTTCTAGCTCTGCTCCAGGTTGTGCAAGGGGTTCCCAACCATACCATAGCTATAGAGCCCTGATGTTTGTGCAAGAAACGAAGGATTCGGTGTAAAACAGCTGGTTGTAAAACGTCGCAAGCTGTGCCGTAGGCAATATCATAGGCTATGGAGATGAAACCCACGGCTGAACAAGCTTGTGACAAACGCGCGCAACCACTGAACATTTCTAGCACAAATTTCTGAACCCCAAGCTGTTGTGAAGGCCGAAAAATCTTGGGGCCTCCTTTGGAAGCATCTGCTCTGCCAGCTGCGACTTTCTCTGCACGGCTGCCGGGAGGTCGTTGAACTCCTGGTTCAGGCGCGCATGCGCCTCGTATCTCCGCACTGAGCTGTCTGCTTGCCAACGCCCTCTCTGCTTCACCTCGCTTAGCGGGCGTAGCTTGTAGAACCTGTCGTGCGAAGGTCCTGAGTGACGGAGTTGGTAGAGCACTGCGTGACTCTTCGGAAGTCCTATCGCCTTGAGCGCTGCCTGCCAGGACTGAACCAAATCGTAGTAGGTGATGTCGAGGAGGAAGGCTCCCGGAGAATTGAGACTTCTGAGGGCTGGACCGATCCATGGCAGGAGAGGAGAGTCCAGCAGGATGCTTTCGTCCGCTAGGCCCACCTTGGACCGTTCTTGCCGCTCTGCTGGATGCAACAAAAGGGACCAATGCTTCTGTCGAGGCATGGGGTTGACCAAGTCTGCTTTTCTCAGGTGCAGAACCTCGCCCGGGCGAAGGTAGGCGGTGAAGCTGAGGAGAACTGCTGCTGCTGAGTGTGTTCTGTGTTGCTTCAACATCTGCATGACCAGAGCCGCCAACAACGGCCACGGCAGAGGTGGTCGAGTCCTCTGGGGTTCCAGCTTCAGCCATCCCTGCAGTGATCGCCGGGTGCGCGCAAGAGTGTGCTTCTGGCCACAACCTGGGAACATGTCGCATGTTGCGGCGAGGAACTTTGTGCCCTCGGCGAGCTCTAATCCTTGATCGAACATGTGATTCACGTAAGAGTTGCAAACCTCGTCCAATCTCTTGTAATCCCTCGCCAGGGTCTTCTGTGAGACTTTTTGGGCTCGGGCAAATTGGAGAAAGCCCTGCATTCGTCGCCGATAGTCTTCGGCCACCAGTCTTGACACTGCCATCTGCTCCAAAAATGTCTGTCCTTGAAACCTCTGCGGGGTCTGATTCTCTTGTTTCGCCTGCGAGCGGTTCTGCTTCCGATCGTCCCGGGTCTTGATCAGCCGTCTTTGAGGTGACTGCCTTTGGCTTTTCTGTGTCTGGTTGGACTTTGTCTCGGGAAGGAGGATTCCAGGTTGAGGTGTAGGGGGCGTCTTCCTTTTCTGTCCCCGCGCCTCCTGGGCTAAAAGCATGCTTTCTCAAATGCTCCCACTGTCGGGAAGCCTGATCAGCCACATTCCTTTCACTCGGCACCCATCGCACTTGAAGGAAACTGTCAGTGGCCAAGAGCAAACACGTTAGCCGCCGACACACCCGAAGCATGCCAAAAGCATTCGACCTACCCTTAGAGCAAAGAAGCACCACACCCATGTTATCCGTGAAGTGAAGATGCTTCCGTCCAAACTGTTGCGACGAGCGAAATTTGTGTCTCATGGCAGCAATAACTCCTCTACCTTCCAAAAGTGTGATATGTTCGGGATACTGCATGTGAATAGCAAAACATTGTGTCCAGCAATCCTTTTGCATGACCTCGGCCTCTATGTCAGGAAAATCAAAGTTCAGCTCATATGGGTCACTTCGCTCCGCTTGCACTGGCTTGACCGTGCCTGGATCTTCAAAGGGGTCACCCAAATCAACAACCACTTCACGGGGCTTGACAGGTCTTCCACTAACGTATCTCCAGGTCTCTCGAATGCGGCCATGCCGGACCACGTCTCTCAGGGGAAGCTCTCGTGAGCAGACAGCCACACCTGACAAAGATGCATCTGAGGCTGTAACACTTGCACTCCATGAACGCTTCATATTCACACTGCAGAGTTTAAAGAGATGCTGTGCCCATTTGGCCTCCTTCGCGGCCGATGCCCACAGTCGTTGCCTTCTATTGTAGGACCTAGCCACAAAATCATAGAGAGACCTAAAAATTGACAAAAGCTCTCGTCTCAACATTGCAAAATGCACCGCATGTCCCAGAAGGCGTTCAACTGCCTTACCACTGACCCTTGGTCGTCGCGCAAGCCATCCAAAGGCCTGCAAGACTTTCTCCCATCTTTCTGGGATTGGTGTGATGCAATGTCTCTCTCCGTCAACTAAAAAACCTAGTGATTGTGCCAGGGTGGATGCCTCTGTCTCCTCATGAACTCTGAAGCCATGCTGTCGAAGCCTGTGCACAATGCAATCTTTAGTCCTTTGCACTGCAGCTTGACATGTTCCAGCAACATTGAGGTTATCTGCGTAGGGAATCAGCACTACCTCGCCTGTTTCCAAGGAAGGCGCAGGCCGCCCCTCCACCAGAAGCCTTGAAGTCCCCAGCCCTGAGGCCTCCAGGCATATGTGCTGATGAACTCTTTGTGCTATGTACATTGCCCAAGACCAACCCATTGGGACCACTCTGCATCTTGGCCAAACCCAGCCTCTAGTATCTTCCGCACCATCACACGGAGCCTGAATACCCCATTCTGCTAAATATTGCAGCGGAATAGGAGGTAAACAGAAAAGATGTTTAAGGTCAGGGGGAAGCTCCAATGAGAAAAAATAGTCCCGGATGTCAGACTGAGCCACGAACAGCTTCTGGCTGTGGTCCACCTCCAACTGAGCCCAGGTTGAACCTGCAGCCAGGGCAAGCGGAGGCGGATCTCTGAATCGCCGGTTTGTGCCGCGGCAATCCAAAATAAACCTCAGTTTTTTGTTCTTCTTGTTGACGAAAAAAGGAGTCACCAGGTCGCCCGGCTTCAGTGTGAAATCCAGCATCTTCTTGTCCACCAGGTCCTTTACGAACCCAGCGTAGAGTTCAGGATTGGCCTGCAAACGGACGTCCATGTAAGGCTGAAAGGTTTCACCCCGCTCAACCATTTCCCCCCACTCTTCACTGCTGCGCATCATGAAAGCTAGGGGATCCTTGACGAGTTCTCGACCATGTTCATCCATGACCTGAGTCAGAGGTATTGGTTCATCTCCACAACCAGGAAGGGACACAAGGTCTCTGTCATAGGGTCGGACCGTATTCATAGTTTCTTCGCCGTTGTAGGCGGTTGAAGTACGCAGAAGCTCTTGAACAGCCTCTTGCTCTGTACATGGTTTGGATGAACTCTTGAATCTGTTCAACTGTTTGTATATAGCGTGTTGACTATCGTGCTGCGCCAAAGAAACCGAAGGTGAACCCACACTCTGCTCCCTAGCACAGTACATTTCATTCAAACACTCTACTATTGAATTGGCCTGCTCCACTTGCCGATGCACGCGAATGCTCCGCCTCTTTGAAGAGGTTGACACACCTTGACGCACCGGAGGGAGGGGATTGTCTGGTAAAGGAAAAAGCTCACGCCACCGCCCCAAATATTCATCAGTGACCTGGCCTGAACCGTCAAAATTTTGGAAGCCACCATGGCTCCCGGGCGCAGCCCCGTCCACTGTGCAGCCAGGCTGGGCTGCATTGCCCAGCTGCATGCCATCCTTCATTTTTGTTCTCCGCCGCCTCCACCCTGCGAGCCTTTACCAGGGTGCTTGCGGCGCATAGATTGTTCCTCTCTGGCCTTGCGGGCCTCCTTGGCGATTGCCGCCTCATCCTTGAGAGCCTGAGCTACATGCGACGCCAACTGCATGTCAATTCCTTGAGCTGTTCGGCGCCACCTCCAGCCCATGAAGTGATCTGCAGAGGAGTAGTCCGGAGAACTTGGACTGATTCTGTGAGCCTCTCGTATGACTTGAAGCCTTCGACAAATCAGTTCCGCACCCTGAAGCGCGCAAATATTGAGTTGATCCACTGTGATCATCGATTCGAGGATGCGGCTCAAACACTCGTGCTCATAGGTGCTTCTATCTCCCTTAGGAATCTCCGCAGATCTGAGCCAGTACTCATGGTATGTGGTGGGGGTGAGGTTCTGATCTCGCATGCTCTTCAGCAGGTTGAGTGACGAGGTCGGTCCATCAAGCTGAAGTCCTCCGCCCTGAGGTATGCCATCCTTCATGGCTGAGACTGCATCATTGAAGTCTCGCCTCCTGGTTCCCTGAGCATCGAAAACCACGGGCAGGATGCGCAAGTCATCAAGCGCGTACCTACCTAGCTCTGCTCGGGGCACCTTTTTCACAAAGCAACCTGACTCCCCCGCAACCCCAGGCACAATCGCTCTGTCCCCCAAAACAATGTGACCGGCTGGAAGTGGATGAGGGTCCTCACAAATCACATCTCCTTTCTTCCTGCCCCCAGCCTCCTCGATTGCCACCCACACTTCTCCTACCCCTGCCCCTGCGGCCATTGCCGGAGGCGCCCTTGCTCCTCCACCCAGAAGCCCAGGTGGAGCCGCAGGAGCTGCTGGCGGCACCGTGCCCGGTGCAGCTGGAGTTGCCACTGCTGGAGTGCCCACAGGCGGAAGCCCAAGTCCCGCTCGAATGGTGTTGGCAGTAGCTCTCCCGATTGCAAGGTGGTTGGCTAAGGTCCCCGGGTCCATGGGTGCAAATCCGTAAATTTGATGAGGGGGGATCCCGGCTGGAATGCTGGTGCTGGCTCCTAAGTAAATGAAGTCCGTGAGGTCACTGTTCAAGGGTGACATTTGTTCCTCAAAGCTGTCCATATCCGGAGTCAGCACCATCCAATTGTCCAGTGAGGTGGGCGCAAGTAAAATGCGCACATGGTACAAAGGAGGCGCCTCCCCATAGTTCAGCAGACAGAGATGACCTGGTTCCATGCTGCGACTCTCAATTCGTCAAGGTCAGGATCTGCCCTTTAGTGCCTGCAAATCCCTTCTTACCTTTGCTTGGTGCTTCCACCGCTGGACCTGTGGATTCTCGATGCCTATACAAGAAGTAGCCTCCAAGTGACAGCACTCCCAACAGTCCAACAATGAAGATGAGCAAAAAGATGTAGACACCTGTGTTCTGATCCCTTGAAATGCACTCACACGTGCACAAACAATTGCAAGGGGTGACCTTCACTTCCTGAGGCTCGAAGATCGGCCGAGTGGTCCACCCCAGTGCAAATGCTGCGAAAGGGACCAGCCACTGCTCCATGGAAGGGTCCCGACCGGTTTCGAGCTTGAGGGTTGCGACAGACGGCGTGATGTTTGCGTTCCATCATTCACTTGTAAACAAAATTCATATATCTATCTACAGGAAACCGCCGCTGGGATTGCCAAACCGCTCCAAATTGGGGGATTTTTCATGAACAAATGTCAACAATCTACATGAGTCATTTTATGTCAAACATCCCTCTCAGGAGTTTTTTTTTGGGGGGGGGAATCTTGCATTCTATTCTTCTCAGTCCTCTTCGATCCATTTGCCAAATTGCAGCAGGAGTCGAACCCGACCCAAAGCAGCCTGATTTCTCATACTTTTTGGCATCCCGTTTCGCGTTACCATGTTAAAATTCATGGGAGAAAAAAAAGCTCTGCTTCCAAACCACTCATGTCTGTAGATTGCAATCTCACCGAGAACATGTTCTGTTATAATTTGACTAAACATCTATCCGTCCAGCTCCCCATAAGGAACAAACGTTCAGCGTGGAGATCTCCCCGCCCTCCCCAATTCGACCTTCTAATCCAACCTCTCCGACCTCCCCGCCCTCCCCGCCCTCCCTGACCTCCGCTCGTTTTCTCAGCCCAGGCCACTCCTGCTCGACCTCCGGCGTCATCTCACCGGACCTCGCGGGAGCCGAAGGGAGGAGCCGAAGGGAGGGGCCGAAACGTTTCTCCCCCGAGCCGGTGTGCCGGGTGTGGGGAGATAGATATGCAGACGGTGTTGTTTTGCATGGAAGCACCTCCGAAACAGCGCTCAGCGGAGAATTCATCATGAAAAGAAAGGTACGCTATAGCATGCTGGTAGGTGGTCTGGTAGATGGTCTAATTTCGATGACATGAGTTCAGGCAGTTCCTTACTTTTAGCTGGTGCCAAGGATGGCCCAATTGGATTTCTAGGGCTCCTGGCCAAGAAGAAAGGGTCAAAGGAACCACACATTGATTTGGTTTAGTCGCAATATCTGTGCATTTGTGGGGTCTGTTGAATTGAACGATCATGACTATTTAGTGGAGGGAAGACTTGCTGCCCCACATGGACCCCCCAAGCTGGTGTACCCCGGTCTTCCCATGCTCTTCAGGTGGTTTCGACCCTCCCCTGTGGAGTCTCCCTCATACTTCGCCCGAACTCTTTCCACCCAGGGCACTGCGCCATGGCGAAGCTGAATCCAGGCACCACGCGGAAGAGCACGTCATAGTCGTAGCTCCCAGGACAGTCGATATCACCCTCCGCCTTTCGAGCCATCGAAGGACAGTGGGGCGGTTTGTTCAGGCACCGGTTCAGAAGCGAAACTGGGATTTGGTTCTAACATCTTCCCCACTTCTGAGGGGATGCGCCCCTAATTAGGGAAAAAAAGACATCACCATACATCAGCAAAACCCAGGTAATAGATTCACAGGGTGCAGCACAAGAAGGGTCAATTCTCGTCAATGCTGGGCCAAGAGATGTCAAGATCGTCTGCTTTGAAGATTTTGGTTCTCCGATCGATGTGACTTTGAGAGAAAGTTTTTGTCCCATCCATCGCACTATGGAGGCCTCAACGGGCCCAATCGAGTCTCAAAACTAAGTGAATAGATGATAGATGGATTTGCAGTGCTGAAACAAAAGAATCCAATCTGGATTAGAATGTTGTCCCCATCCCACACCAATCCCCCCAAAAATTAAAACAACGGACCGCTTCAGCGTTGCTACTAGCACCAGACCTTTCCTGCAACGTCCGATCGGCTACTAGCACCCAGTCCCCACTTGCGCCGTTCCAAGCCACTGGGGGGTAGTCGTAGTCCAAGCGGATCACGCCCAGGATCGGAGCCTCGGAGGCCGCAGATCGCGCGGAGCTGCGATGGATCTGCGACCTGGAGATCACCCCCAGAAAGGTCGAGACCTTAGAGGGCTCTACGACCCGTTTGGGACGGTGAAACAAAATGGCTTGACCCTTCTTGGAGGTGTTAGGCCTAGAAGTCAGGTTCGAGGCCAACGTCCCCAAGTTGTGCTCCAAAAACATGTGTCCAAGAACCATTGAATGGCACTAAAACCAACCAGCCCCAGCAGAAATTCAAGCCAGATTCAAGACAGCGCGGTAGGGCCGTGCCACCGACCAACCGACCGGTGGATGGTCAATCTACCAGGGGGGCTGGGGGGCTGGGGACATGGACTCTGGACCATGAGCCGCCCCTGATGTGGCGAACTAGTTGGACTGCATGTGTCCCTTTCTCCTTTCTCCGGTGATTTGGCATCTGGAGGGTGATGATGTAACCCACACGAGTCATGTAAGCAAATATGGTCTACATTTGGTGGTCTTGGGCGATGAATGTAGGTCGTATTCACTTGCTGACTTACTGTACATAGATCGTTTGGGTAATGCACTGCACCGTATTTGCACGCACATCCCACCCCAAAAGCCTTTGGCACAACTGCCGGTCTATCTGAGTCTATCTGCTCGGAAACTGCCTCCCCCCCCACTGGCCCCCACTCCTGCCGAAAACGAGCCAAAGGGCCTGCTGCTTCCGGACTTTCCGTTGAACCTTATCCAGCTTGGCTTTCTTCGCCACCAAACCTTGCTTCTGCTCCTTCCTCAGGCACAACAAGGCTGGGCCAGGCTGGGTTGGGAAACAAGGAAGCAACCGAACCCGAACCCAGTCAGGGGCTCCACATGAAGAGTCATAAATGAGCCACAGAACATCAATGAACGTACGGGTTGGCAACATGGTCTTCAAAGAGGGTCTGCTACTTGGAGACACCCACAACACTAAGCAACATGCCATCTCATGGGTCATGGGTTCTCTCGTGTGCAGAATCCGCAGAAGCATCCTTCAGTCTTGCAGCAGAAGGTCCGAGAAGGCAACGTTTGAGGAAACAAACACTCAAAACCATGCTCAAATCGTCACTGGGTTGCGGCCATTCTTCTCTACCAGCTAATTAATTATCTAGCTATAGTTCACTAAGCACCGCAGTGTTCCAGAGTCCCCCGGCGGAACTTTGAGACAACGGCTGCCAAGCCGCTTCTTTTGGCTCTTGAACAGAACCTGAGACACCGCGCGCACGGTGCGAATTCGTCCGCAGGGTATCGCAGGGCCGAAGCTTCGAGGCGTTCGTTGCGTGGGGTGTTGGGTTATAAGAGAAACTCTCGGACTGAAACAAAGCCAAAAGCCTGGGAAACAAAGGTCGGGGTTTCCCGTCAATCTTCAGAACGACCTGACATCAGTTTTGGTGTATGATATAATTACGTCCAAATCATGAAGCTGTGAATCTTCCAAGTTGCCGCGTCTGACAAAATGCCAAACAGTAGATTCATCCCAGTTGCACCCAGGCGTTCCGCAAACTCCATGAACAAACTCAAGACAGGACACCTTCTAGCTGGACTTTGGCAGTTGGATGTAGAAGGCAAAATCGATGAAACCCGCTTGTTTGGAGAGTCCCCTCTTGAGACAAACCCAAGTGCTCCTCAGGCAGGGGTGCCTTATACAAATACACCAAGTACCTAATTCCCTACCTACCCATTCCATTGTGCTGTTGAGGGTGGCCCCATCTGAAACGATGGCCGTTCCCATGTTTTTCTTCCAGAAGCGCAACCAAATCCCCAGTGAATTCAAAGCACCTTCCACTTTAGATCTACACTCCTTACAAACTATAACAATGCAACCACCTACCTCACGCCCTCGCTGCCATGCTGGCTTCCCTTGGAGATCGATCTCCAAGTCTTGGTAGCACCAACCAGCTGAGCCAAGCAGCAAGCTCAGCTTCATCTTTCGTGAGGTTCTTACCCAGTTCATACTCCTGGCGCGGCCGCTGGACACTGGACCCATCCGAAAAAGCTGTTGATCAAAGCAACATGTGCTGAACCCGTGCCCCAACAGAACCGTTTTGCCCGCGGGGCGGGTAACGATCGCGAATGTCCAAATCCCCAATTTCCCCTAATTTCCATCGTAAGCCATGTGGCCTCTCAAGCATGCCTCAATCTGTGGATTTGGGCACGCCACAACACAAAGAACGAAAGCAGGACTGACGAGCTGCCTCACACCACAACAACAAAAAATAGGACCATTGCTAATGACACCCGTCCAACTCCCTCAAAAACATGTGTGCTTGCATGGATCAACTTATGACATGATTACCCTAAGAATCTTGGACCCTCCATAGCAGAGGTCACCCTCAAAACCGTGTCTATTTGCTTCAGGTCCGGAAGCTTTTCGGGTCTCGGACAGCACGTCTGACTCGAAGGGCTCAGCGGCAGGACATCTTCACTCCCAAGCGCGTGGACTCCTCCTGCTCGCCATCCCAATCTTCCTGCCAATCAGCTTGGCCATAGCGCTTGTTGTCCTCACAAGCAAGGTTGAACTCCGCCTGGCCCGTTGTAGATATGGTGGTAAAAGGTGTTTATTGCCCCCAGTGGGAAAATTGAAATATCAACTCATGGTAAAGGCCTTCTAGAACAATTGACGATCTTTTACTATAATGTAGACATATCTAGACTCTTGATTTGAAAGGCTACCAGATTGCCTGTACATCTCCCTCAAGAAAAGGAGATGGTTCATGCTGATCTCGCGCAGGGTCTTGTTCAACATGTTCCACTGAGATACACCCCCTGCAGACGATCCCATGAACCCTGAAGAATTGACCCCCGTGGTTTCAGACCCCTTTCCTTTACAACCTATATAGTAGTTTTGAGAGTCTATGTGGTCCTCAAACCGTCCCGAACCGGGATGGGTCCAAACCGGTTTTGAGAGTCCGTCATGTTCAACAGGCTCCACGGGCCCACCAACACCATGCTGTCACTCCTGGAAGGCGCTCACGTAGAAATCAGCACAAGAAATGGCATCCCAGACCGGCAGCCCCGTGTGATACCGCAAGGCATCCGCATAGGGTGGGAGTTCCTTGGAGGGATGGACTTGCAACACATTTTTTTGGACAAAAACACCTATGGATGCCTGGGTCGTCTTGCAACGAGCAGTGTGCAGACGTGCAAATGTCTTCGGCACCTCCTCCAACACCTATATGAAGTCTGTGGAGCCCACAACGACTAACTATATATACAGTGGTTTCAAACACCATCTAAAGAAGCCAGTGCTATCTACTTTGAAGCCGCTGTACTCCTTCCGAAAGCAGGGTTTGGGGCGAACAAATCGAACCGACAGGTTGTCCGGGGTTCTGTTCTCGTGCCAAGAGCCCAAATTATTGATCATGCTTTTCAGTTGCTCGATTGATCCTTTTCCTTTTGTGCCCTGGTCATCTTCTGAGGTTCCCTCTACACACACGTCCATGGTCAAAAATGGCATGTCAAAGACCACATTGCTAAGCATCGCCTGGTCGACCAAGTAGCCGCTTTGGCAGGCGGCTTGGTGGCTTCTTTGACGGGGCACAGTCTGCTACATAGCCTTCTTTAACATGATCTTCGGTCCAGGGACCAGTAGCTTCTTTAACAACCAGTTTTTGAAGAAACTCCAGGCCCAACCAAGTTGAATGAGGCCGGTCTTCATCAAACAATAAGGTCTAGAAGCAAGTGGGGGTCTTCAGTTGTTCATCGATTCTTTTCCATGAACTCCATGAAGTCTTTCTTTACTTTCTACTTTGAAGTACCACTCAATGTCTCGAAATGTGGGGCCGAAACCCGGGTCAACGGCCGAAACCTCCACGAAAAGCTCGGGAAACACCAAGGCTCGGTACATTCCAAGAGGATCGCACCTCAGATCCGTCCGAAAAAAAAGAAAAGAAAAACACCTCGCCACGCATCGAAACTCGAACGGGGGGAGCGGTTCAGCTTTGAAGCGATTTCGCACGGCACGGCATCCAATAGAAATTATAGAACTTGTTGAAATGCAAGTAGCTGCAAAGCCCTCTGCAAAGCTGCATCTTTTTTGCCAACTGTGAAGCATTTCAACTCCCACCCCATCTGGCGCCCAGCTATTCGCCAGCATCAGTTGAGGTACGAATAGCTGGGCGTTCCTCCAGGATGAACCGGACCAACCTGAGTATCCCTGCTTGGACCTGCCACGTGCGTGTCTTGGCCGCCGATGACGGGAGTGTGCGGCGCTTTTCCATGTGTTTTGTTCCCTTCCTGATTCTTATAGCAATGGAGTGACGGAAGGCAAACACATGTAAAATGTAATGCGCTTTTGGAGGTGGTATATTATGGATGTGTATTGTGGTATACGGTATGGCTGATGCGTGGAGTTGTGTTTGCAGAAAATTCTTGAAACTCGGTTGGCCATTGGTAGTGACATTGGGCTTCCTCTCTTCCAATCTACAACAAACAGTTGAACACGGACTTATATATCTATCATATTAATGTATAATAGTTTGTATGTTCGGGTTCAACTGATATTTGTTCAACACCTATTCATATGTCTTTTGCCTACAGCAAACAGTTGAACAACAGTTTATGTCTATCATATGTCCAACATTGTTCAACACCTATTCCGATTCGGGTTTCACACGGCTTCACCTCACCCACAGTCCGACTACCTCGGTCCGAAAAAAGCTTCTCACGGTCCGTGCCTTCTCGAGCGGCACCTTCTCCCCCTTGGCCACGGCTTCAAAGCCCGGCACCCCCTGCGTTCGATCCAGGTGGGAGAGACCGGTTGGAGGCGACCATCCATGGGACTGGAAGAGAGTGAATTACTTGGCAGATTTGCTGCCTGGAACTGGAAGAAAAGACACAGGGGCGACCTACATTGGGGTCTGAAAAATGGGGTCTTCATGTATGTTGGCCTGGGGTGTGACATAGGGTGACCACCTTCTTCTACGTAGTAGGTGTGTCCACAGAATTGGGGTTTACATCTTGTTCAGGTATGGGCCTACCCTAAGAATTCTAAGAAGAATCCTAGGGCTGTCCATGGCCGGGGCCTCAAAAACCTATCTGTTTGAGGGCCCGGATTCTTAGGGTAGTTAGTCAGATAGCATGCTAGTTAGCTTGACCAGTTGCGGCCACGGAGGATGCATCAACGATGCTTGACACTGACTGGATGGTCACGGTGTGCTTCTACACCGAGCTTCTGGGCACCCAGTTCCGAAGACACGGGTTCAGCAACTGGCCGCGTTCGGCCGCGGATGAGCTGGCTGGCTGGTTTGATGGGTGTCGACATGGTGTTACTCACATCGACAGAAGCCTACAAGTCCAGTCTGACCGGTCGACTTGACCTCCTGAAGTATTGGTTTTTTGTATTGACCATCTCCAGCAAAATGAGGTCTTTGACTTGTAAAGAAAGCTTTGAGCAACCGCCCCCGCTGTCACCTACGAGCTAAAAGGCACCATGCGCACTGGCTCACCCCACCCCCAGAGGTAAACCAGCTTCTAATTTATACCACCTACTGAATTACCAATAATTGCAGCTGTATATCTTCCAAGCTGCTTTGACATGCTTTCACTCAAGCATCGCGGGATCGTGTACTATCGTGCTCAAAACGAGCCCTGGAAGCATGTGACCCATGCCCAGGGTTCAAACTCAAACAAGTACCAGAAGGGGCGCAGCGCCCCCATTCCCGGGGTAACAGCTTAGAATATATTTCAACTTCCCCATATGACAGGCTTTACAATCCAAATGGGAGTTACGATCCCTGAAACAATCATGGAACTGAAACAGTTCGGACACCGGAAGACCATTTTCCGGGGTCTGCTTCCATTCTTGGAGATAAGCATCCCATTAGCCAGAGGTGTTGCAATCCATCAGCACCTTCAACTGGAGCCTCCGCTGTCCGGTCCCGCGGCCGCTCCGAGCCCGCGGGTCCCGTGGCCTGGCAGCCCTGGATGATGAAGCGGCTCTCATCTACGTCAAAACCACAGCTGCTTAGAAGAACCTCCTGAGAGAAGGGGTTGGTGGGAAAAAAACACATGAAACAAAAAGCATTCTTCCATATCACTCCAGCTCAAGCATATGAACATCACACTGAACAATTGCGGGGCAGCATGACAAAGTGCAAAAGGATATCAAAGAAGGAAGCTTGATCTTGGAACTTCTTTCACTCTTCCAAAATCCAAAAAAATCAAAAAACACAATGTGTTTGAGAAAGCTCGCGTACACACCTTTGTTTCGAACCTACCTGCCGCCACGATGAGTTCGCGGTTCGATCGATTCGGCACCTTCTGTGGCTTCAGAGTGACATCATTGGCCGTGAGGATCAAGACCTGCACCGGAGTGGTTTCAGGGATGTCATCTCTCGCAGTGGTTTCAGAGGGGTTAGATGGCACCGGCACCCCTATAGTCTATATATAGACTATAAGATACTATAAGTCTTTGGGATGGGGAGTCCATCCATAGCAGTACCTGAACCTGGGAGGTCCGACGTGATGACACGTCCTCTCGGTCGGCGAAGGTCCAGGACCGGGTCCCATCTCGAGGTCCAGACGCACAAGTCTCGCACCATCGCATGGCACCATGTGGCGGTTTCTTCCTTCAGCCTTTCTTTCTCACTCTTCCAGTTTCGATTGCTGGGCTCTTCAGCCCTCAGGTCGTGTCCATGCAGACCTGAACAGGAAAGTAGTAGACGGTTAAAGTCTGTGAAACCAAGCTGATGTTGGTAAGGGAAGATGTCGTGCATCACCCTGAGGCCTCCAGAACTGAGGAAAAAATGAGAGCAAAGAAATGAGGAAAGCCCCCATGTTCCTTGGCTCAACTTCTGAAGTTTTAGTTTGAGCAAGTGGCCCTCCAAATTACAAACAAGATCTGTATGTACAAATAAAGGTCAGTCTACATGACGCTACACCCTCGTATCATGTTGTTCATGTTTGCTCATTCTATATATACCATGCATGTGATCTTTATGATTCATTCGCATGTTACAAAGCCCCTCACCCAAGGCCCATCCACATGAATTATCATGAATTACTCTTTCAAACACCTATCATTTCAGCCTCTTCTATCCCACCATGCGATTCTCCCCACCGGTCCACCCAACGGTACACCACTCCAAAGGACCATTCGCACCGCATCCTTCGACTGCACCGCGACTGCCGTCGCTGGCCTGGTCCATGGGGTCCAGTGCGGCGCCGATGATGGGGCATTGCACCATGGAGGACATGAAGATGGGCTTCTTGGCGATCTTCCTGGCGTCGGCGGCCGCAGCTCGTCGCGTCGCGGCGGGCTCCGCGGCAGGTCTGAAGCAGCTGCATTCAGGAGGAAGGACGAAGGCAGAATGAAGGCCGACGGCGACAACGATCGCCGGGCGGAGACCGTGGCATCTGCGTCTGTGACAGGCCGTGTATGACGTTGTTGGTCTTCTGTCTTGCCCAGACACTCCATGGGACTGCCCATATATGCCAACATTGACCCCCAAGACCACCCCAATGTAGGCATATATATGGCCTACATGGAGTGTCTGGGTTGGGTTTTTGGGGCAAAGCAGGTAGAGCAGGCAGGCAGGGCGGAGCAGGGGGTCGTCTTTCGTGACAGGTTGGAAGGGGAGATCGGAAAAGACCAACAGACTCTGCGGATCGGATCGGATGGTGCGGTGTTTGTCTACGACCAGGTCGGTGATGGGTGCCAGATGGGTGGAGAGTGGCCCCAGATGGCCTCAGCCTCCGGGGATCTGGGTTTTCATGGATTGAGACCTACAGCATCTCAAGGGGGGAGAGGAACCTTCAAAGAAGGGAGTGGAAACTCTCTCGACTGGAGCAATCCGAGTTGCGTGGATGGCCGCCGAAGACGAAGACGAAGACCATGAAAGTCGTGAAGACAAAACATCCGAATCCCCAAGAGGTGGTGCCATCCACTTCCATGTGACTGTCACTGTTTCACTGTCTAAATGTAAATTGGGTCGATGTCCTATTTCCAGGGCCGAGTGGATGATGAATCAGTCTCTAAACCGACGGCTCATCACAGGTCTTCTAGGACTGACAGACCCGTTTAAAACGTTTAGCCCTAGGTGTTCTTCCCATCATTCCCATATCAGGAGCCCGAATCCACACCCTTCACCTGTCCGAATCCTTGCCATTACGCCTTGGTGAACTCGGCTCAGCTCAGTCAGCTCATGTGGACCGACACATGGGGGGACCCCCCATGGAACCGTAAGTAAGTGAACCAAGAAGGCGACTCGCTGCGCGACCGGGTCGATGCCAGGGGTTTCATCTTGGCATCTTCCCAAATCTTTCTCATCTTGGTGTTCCATTTGCAAAGGGGCTTCCGGAAAAGAAGGCTCTGAAACCCTGAAAGCGCACTTCCGCTCCAGATCCTGCCGTTAGATCCTGAAAACACAAAACCGTCACCGTCGTGCAATTGTCCCGTCCTGGCCAGAACCTGGAAGGCCATCATGAAGCCACAATCCCCTGTGATGGCGCTCACGCCTCGTGCCTGGAGAGGCGTGGGTCTTGTTTGTTTTGTGTGTTTCTCCCTTATGTTTGGATGCTTTGTGAAGCAGTCACCTATGCATGGCTTCTCAAGGAATTCCTGCAAATCGTATCAATGAAATGACCCTAATTTGGGCAAAGCTGATGTGAAGCGAAGCAGCGGAGGGTCAATCCACGTGCTCCAGCCCAGCTCTGCTCGTAACATATACAATCATATACACGCGCGCCAAAGCATGCTTAGCTGGACCCTGGAGTGTTCGACAAACCCATGTGATGAGGCCTGATGAGGGCCGTCCGTACGCCCACTCATCAGGGCCTGCTGGACCCGGGTTGGCTGGTCGACTGGTCCAGTTCTTCCAGGGGGGGTCGGAACGCCTGGGAGGTCCAATCAAATACACCCCATCCCATCTGCTGCGCAGTGAAGGGAGGACCTTCCACCCAGCTGCACCGAAGACATCGGCGCCTCTAAGTGTTTGATGGCGTCCGCGAAGCGTCGCTCCACCATCTCCGTGAACTTCCCCGACTGACCTGGCAGGGCACGACTCCGTGTGGAGCACCAAGGCCACCACCCACAAAACACTCAATCTCAGGAACCTCAAGGCGGCTGTCGACTTGGCGAAGGCCACTGTGACGTGTGAGGACGAGGTCTGGGGACCGTTCACTCACAGGATCCAGTTCTGGATTTGGGCAACTCTGGGTGAGAATGGAACATGGCGCCCTCAACGCAGCTTCATCCCGTCGTAACCAGCGGCAGTCAGTGGTCATCCCAAGATCATGCCCCCTCAAATCGGCCGTTCAATGCCCTATTTCGCCACATCATCTAGACATGTAAATATAGCTGATATAGCTGCAGAATGCTGGGAGGCTCCTCATCGATCCGATGCAAATGGCATGGGAAGGGCAAAACAAACTACTCCCTGGTCTTCTGATTGCTTCTGCTTGCCCTCCTCCCTCCATGACTCACTCTTCAGCACCCGTCAGTGATGCATCAAGGAGCACATTTCGAAGGAGAGCCCCGGCACGCAGCGGTAGTAGACATCATAGCCAAAGCTGCCTCACAACCCCAACAGTACGAACACGAAACCGGACTGGTCCTTCAAACAACTGCAGTGGCTATTCCATGCAATTTCTCCACTGGTGGTCCCGCATGTTGGAGCGTGAAAGCATCAGTCGACTGAAGTTTCTACGTTCTACTTTTCAACGGCTTCGAATTCCAGATGACCCCCTGAACCATATCTCTACCATGTCTCTCACCGTATTCCTACCCCCCTGCATTGCAAAAAGTGCAGCTCACTACCCCACTGCCGCACCCCATCTGCCCGCCCTCGCGCACCGTGCCCTCGCGTCGCCTGGGCAATCCGTGTCACCCGGCGCGGGCGGATAGTCGTAGTCCAGGCGCACCACGCCCAACGACGGATGCTTCGCACGGGCCCTTTGGCCTCCGGCGGTCGGCGGAGCTCAACGTCTCAGGACATGGTGCGGGGCCCGAGCTTGATGGACACCCTGGGTGATCTATCTCAAACAAGCGCCACAGGGGCATCAAAAATAAAGACACCGCTGAGACCCAAAAAGAAACTCCGTTTGCCGCATCTTGCAAGAATGTAGACTCTTGATTAACCCTCCCCGATTGAATTGGAAAATCCTCTTCATCTCGGGGGTTTATGAATCAAGAATCTACATTACCAACATCAGCTTGGTTTAGCCGCCTACACCACTTCACTTGGTAAACTAATTACATGCAATAATATTACTATACAATGCATGACGTAATTCATGATGGTATGATCTAATTCCACTTGGCACCTGAGCTCGCTTTGAGTTTCTTGAAGTCTTCTTGAAGCTCCGTGTGCGCGCGCATGAGCTCCACGTGCCGCTTCTGCAGCGTCTGGTGCGCTGCGAGGAGGTCCTGGTGGAGCTCCTGGAGCCTTGGATCTGTCGAAGGGTTGGTCACTTCAAAGTGGATCCAAAAAACAACGAGGGTGCAGCTGGTGGTGAAGTGACCCAACTGACAAAAAAAACATAATATAATAAATATATATATATATGCATTTTACATTGTAGTAAGCTACTGGCAGTTTGAATATAATAATACGTATGCGCGTATATAATATATATATATATATATACTAACGTATATGCTATTCCATTCCATGGTCTTTTGGGGCTTCGATGGCTGCTCGCCGTTGGCTCAAGCACAAAAATCAGAAGCCTGACAACAGGTGTGCTTGGATTCTTAGCTGATCACTAGACATACCTAGACTAGACCAATCCCCAAACACTCCATGTTATATACAGTAATTATGCCATAATATTTGCCTACATTGGGGAGGTTTTGGGGGTCAATGTAGGCAAATATGGCAGTCCCATGGAGTGTCTGGTATCTGTTCAGAAGTGGTTCACCATGCCTTCCGAGACACGCCTTCGCCTGTTGCGCTTCCCGAAGCTCTTGTTGCTGCCGCAGGTGTTGCTGCTGCAGTTGTTGCAGCTGCAGCTGATGCTGCTGCCGTCGCTGTTGGTGCTGCTGCAGCCTCTTCTCATCTTCTCCTCCTTGCATGTGGGCTGTGGCCGCGAGATAAAGAAGTGGGTGTGTCTTGGACTTTGGCAGGGCCACTGTTGAGCAGGGAACATGCGTGGATAGTCAGTGTGAACTGCAGTGATTGAGGATTCTGCATGTGGACAAAGACCCATGGCCATGGCCATGAAAAACGTCTGGCATGTCAATCTGCAATGGTTTGGGTTCTTCCTTTGAAGACTCGTTTTTCCGCCTTGATATGAGGACCTAATTCTCAAATCATCTGTTCGCAGGGATGCGTTTACCCGACAGGTTCTTCAAAATCACCTGGATGTGACCGATGGTGATTTTGAACATGGTCAGGCAGTGGAGGGACCGAGAACAAGGTGTGGCAGGTTGTGTCGGCGCACGAAACAAAGATGCGTCACACAAACCTCATCTCCTCATCTGAGTCATGGAAACGTATGCGTGTGTATTGTAATGTTGGGGGGGGCACAACCAATGGGTTTTGGTTCTAGGGGATCAATGGGGTGTCCCCTCTTCCATTACACACCCATATCTCCAGGTGTGGAATTGGAGTATGGAGTCATTGGAATCTCATTGTATCCCTCTCTCAAGCAAGTATCAACCAATGATTCGACAATATTCCAGTTATTGCCAGTAACATTGAGTGGTGATGGTTTGTTCAAAAATAGTGACAATTGACTGTTACATTTACCAGTCATATAGGACAAACAAACCCCATGAATCATGGTCAATCAAGGTGCTCCTGCCTCACTGATTCCCCACTCTATCTGTGATAGCTCAAGCAACCATCTCCGAGAGTGCAGTTATGACTCTTTGTACCAGTTATGGGTCCCTTATTGATGGTCCGACATGATGTGTGGATTATGACTACCAAAACCGGGGGTCACAGGAGTCAAAACGGAAGTGACCAAGTGCATGTGACATCATGTGATACACCTGGTATCAAGAATGCACACCTTGATATACAGTACCCTAAGGATCCAAGTACCCTCTGAGAAGGTGTTTGGGGTGGGTTTGGAGGGTCCAAGTACCTTTTGAGGAGGTACTTGGATCCCTAGGGGTAGTAGAATCCTAACAAATAGAAGACCTAAAAACAACACGATGACATACGATGACTATTCCCTGAAGTGATTCTACCTACCTATACCCTTCTGCGATGAAGAAGCCCATCTCGTCTCCTTCCTGTCCTTCCTTCTGATTCGTCGAGTTGAGCAAGGCCATGCTATTGACGCCTTGCTCAGTGCACTCGGCCCGACCCCCAGACGTGCGGCCCAGCTCCGTCTCTTCGGTCGAAGGCCGCTGAACACTCCGCCACGAGAACGAAGCCCCCGATGTGTCACCCGAACGGTTCAGAAGCGATCGGAAAAGCTCCCACCTAAAGACGGCAAGCTTTGCGCTGCTTTCAGCCTTTGCATCTCCATCTCCATGAGCGCCAGCCGCTCAGCATGACTCGGATTGATCATCTCCATGCCCCCCGGGGGTCTTACGCCGCGGGGCGTCCTACGTCGCGGTGCGGTTTCCGCGGAGGTTTGGGCCACGTCGTAAGCTGGACAAGTGTTCAGCCAGTGAAGTGAACCCCTGCAAATCATCAAGGTCCCATAGACCACGATACTGTAAGAAACTGGACCCCTAACATCAAAACGATGCTCATCTAGAGTCAAAGGTGGTTCACCAGGGCCGGTCCTCTGGAAGGTCAGACCCTGACAGAGTCGGGTGCTGGTAGATATATATGAATCTGTGCCCGTCTGTGGCACCAACTCACTGACATCAACGAAACATACCTCACTCACATCCATGATCTTCTCTTCCCGGTCCCGATCCGACTCTCCCGGTTCGTCACCGGGAGAGTCGGTTCAGAAGTCGTTCCCGGGGTTCCCGAGCCGCGGCGTAGTAGTCATCGCGGTGTCGCGTGGCCTGGGGTTTCGCGTGGCGTTTTCGGGGTTTCGAGAAGACCAAAGGGTTGGAGGGAGACCCTGGACTGGGTGCCAGTCGTAGTTCCTCAGCTGGGACTGGCACCCGGGTGCCAAAGGGGTCGAGTCTCGACTGGAGCCCTAGGGGTTGGGCATCTCTTGGGACAACATCCTATTTGCAGGGCCATGTGGATGATGATGAAAGGGGCCATGAGGTTGGGTACCCACCCTGAAACACTCGTGGAAGTGAATGTACTGTCTTCCTTTCGGGGGCCATGTTCCACTTCCATGTTTGTTGGATGGAGGGGATATCTTGGGACGAAGTCCTATTGCCAGGGCCCAGTGGATGATGGGGCCAGGTCGGTTGACTTGTTTACTGACCGGTAATATATGACAAACCCAAGGTATATAGATGATGTACATATCCCATGACCCGGGCCCAGCCAGGCCCCGTGGGTGATGATGAATGGGTTACAGACCGATCTGCGCCAATCTATGACACGCCCTGGGTACTGAGGTTTTATGGAGCTTGAATTGGTCTTCGGGGCTGGTTGGTGAACATCCCAACCTTCAAAGAGTCAGAGATAGAAAGTACTGCACACATGCTGGTTTTTGAAAGCAATCACACAAATCCAAGAATCCACAAACATCATCAAAAACAAGAAAATAGACTCATCAAACATCAACCATCCAACGTCGAAGATCCAAACTTCCACGTGACCTCTCCACACATCAAAACCAGTTCATTCAGGATGCATTTCTGCACCATTCATGACTCAAGTTGGGCCGCCCAAACGGTAAGGAGCCGTCTACATCACCTCCATCGATTTAATCCGCCCGCGCTCCATCGCCTCCGCTCCCTTCCATCCGACCGTCAAAGCCCTTCGTCTGCCTGGCGTGAAGTGAGCTCCAAGTGATAGGCCTGCTTGGTTCGCCGTTCAAAGGCACCAGTCCTGTGCGTGCGGAGGTATCTCGGCTGGCAGCCAGCTGTTCCAGTGCGTGCCGCACCTGGCAGCCAATCACATCCAGAAGCTGTTTGGAATCTAGCAGCTCTACATACAAGCTGTCTGTGCCAAGGGCACAGACTGGCTGCTCCAATGGGAGACCCAAGCCAAAGCCCCCTTGCTCTGGAACCAACACAAACCCTTCCACTCCTATCAATCCCAGCTCTCTTTCAACTCCATTCCTTTGCCGCAGCACCCGGGTCCTGAGCATGAACTCCTTCTCTTCGTTCCATTCGGGATTCCTCGGGGCGACCAACGCCGGCACGGGCACGGGAGTCAGGACACAGAAGTCTCGCAAGTCTAGCGAGTTGGGCATTGATCCCTTTGATCACGAGGACTATGATGCTGGCCCAACCCACTCCCCCCCAAAGTTACAAATTCCCAAGCGTTTTGGTGCATTCCTCCTTCAAAAGGGTTCCGGCAAGCTCCCACGGTTCATGCCCCCAAGGCTCCTGGTGGCCTTCTTCGTGCTGGTGGTCCAGTAGCACTCGTGTCGGCCCAAGGCTGTCTGGTGCCATCCGTTCTCATCGAAGCCGGGTGGAATCTTCTCCTGATTTCAGCGGCGTTGGCCAGCGGGCTTTTGGGGGTCCAAGACCGTTCTGTCTAAGAGGAACCCAAAGGGAAACCCTCAAACATGTCCAACTACCTCATGTAGATCATGCAGACTCTTGATTAGTCAAAAAGCATAAATAAATGAAATATGATGAAACAATATATGCCATCTAATTTGGAAGGGCTTCATTCAAATCTGAGAGTCTACAATATAGTTGTGTTTTGGAGGGCAGTCTACTCCCAAGCCTCCGACCATCGACAAAGCGGCGAAGAAGGAACAAAGCGACCGTCGACCGATAGAGAGCAGAAAACACACAGCGGTTCGGCAAAAGCCCGTCGGTGCTGTATATACACCCTAGAAGACACGACCTGTCTGGGACTGGCATAGGACTGCCGTAATATACGGCCAGGGGTGCGTGGAAGTCGGGGTCAATGTAGGCATAGACCCTAGAAGTCCAAAGACTATACTTTGACCGACTGAAGTAAAGGACATTCCTAGACTCGTGTCACCTAGTTAGACCATTCTTTTTGTAGTCTTTGACTCCCAGGGTATACATATTACACTCCGACTCACTAACATGGAAGTGGAAAGCACCCTGTTGGCAGCGGCAAAGGAAAATCGTCGTGCAAGGGTCCCATGTAACACGATCCATCTTAGTGAGTCGGAGGGTATACTTGCGATGTTTTGGCTCCGCAGGTGGCTTTGTCAAAACATGTTAAGGCCAAGATCAAGGTAAAAGTAGTAATAAATGGGAGAAGCCTGGAGAAGCACATGTAGTGGTTGGTTTTACGGTCCCTCGTGTTTTGAGACATGTGATTATGTGTTGGCAACGATCTTGTTGTGGAGAAGGTGCTTCACTTAGTGGAATTCAGCCACCCGCTGTGAGTTTCTGGGCGCCAATACTCACAACACCAAGCAACACAGAATCCTTGGAAGTCGAAAAGGGCAATTCATTGAATTGTCAGGGGAGCATTTACCTTTTCCTTTTCCAGGGGGGCCTCTGCCACTACATGACACAAGTGTTGTGCAATACTATTGCAGTCTGGAGTAAGCACGACATTACACATGGCCACAACTCCTTCTGTGTGTAGTTGGATGGTCGTCCTAAGAGTCGTCCTACTTGTCAGGGACACACTTAGCGCTGGAAACTACCATCACTTGAGTTTTACAAACACAGCAACACAAAAGGTTGATCTGGAGCAAGCAAAACATGATGATTGTGGGCCAGCCTTCAAACTTTCAGCATTAGGGTCTACCGTGCGACAAGGTCTAAGGTTTTAGATGGTTTTGGCATGCTTAGGATGGTTGAGAGTGTTGAGGTTTCAGGGCATGCACTGGAGCTGCACGCAGTGACAATTGTCCACGGCTTTCGCTAAAGGACAAACAACACGGAGCAACCGCATCCGTTGATTCTGCGTCTGCACCTTTCTTGGGTGCAAAGAAGCAGCACTGGAGCTGCGAAGCAACGTCTAGATCCGTCCCGACCCTGGAGCCTCTAAGATCATCGTGCAACGTCTAGAGTCCAGCAAGCCATATACTTATATATATATATACTTTATATACCCGCGGCCCAATGTCACAGCATTTAAAATGCTGTTGAAAGAATAAAGGCACATTGGAACGCTCATCTGCTAAACCAAAAGCATGGAACCTCAAAGGTTAACCTAGAGAGAAGACAAGGATGTTCCTCGACTTGACTTTACGTATGTGAACTCAAGTAGAATCTATAAAAATTCAGGCTTTGGGGGTATATTCGGTGAACGTCTCCACATTGCTTTTGCTTCAAAACAGCATCTGACTGACTCGATCTGATCTCCCTCGCCCCATGGAACCAGGCCTTCTCCTGGCGGAAGAAGGCCTCGTTCTTCACGTACATGCACACATAGGGATCGCTGCCTTCCTGGAACCCCCAAAAAGCCAACGAAAGCGGAGCGAAGTGGGGCGAGCATAGACGACCGGGTGGACCTCCCACGAGGCAAACACTCCATGTTGACCATGTATATATTGACATCGCTATTACATGCAAATATAGCGCGTTTCTCAATGCAAGCAACACAGAAAGCCTCCTTACATGGAGGCTTTCATCCTATTGATCATGTATTGACCCAGATGTCAATAGCGCTGTTGCAGGCAAAAGAAAGGCGACGTATTTATATGCCAACTATGGAGTGTCTGGCTGCTGATGGTCCTGTGGGCTCGGGTCTCAGAAACTCTCCAAGAATATCTACTCCCTAGGCCTACCTCCGTTTTCGAAGATGGTTATTTGGTGTGTTTGGGGGCTCTAACCACCTTCTTCCCCTGCGGATATAGGAGCCCTAGGGACTAAACCTGGAACCCTTGCGGATATAGGAGCCCTAGGGACTAAACCGACTAAACCTGGACTCTATAGTAAAATAGGGAGACCTCCCAGGTCCCAGGCGTACCGTTCCGACCCCCTGGGTTGCAACATCGGCCAGCTCTACCCACTTCGCTCCGGGGCGAGTTCGGACGTGGGCGACGTCACGTCCCCCCAGTGACTCCTAGGGTCCCATATCTCTCAACCTCGGATTTGGATGAAGATCCATCTCAAACACAGATCACTCATGATATATGTGTAAGGAATTTATATATGGATTTTGGACCGTGTCTCCTTTGTCACGTCCTTTGGTCACTTGGAGATAGGATCAAACACACCTTCCACCGGCTCCGGTAGCCGTCCCTCGGTGGCCGCCCGAGCGGCTCGCCGGAAGCCGCGGTCCGCGCCGCGCAGGCCTTCGGCCTCGAGAAGGGGGGGGAGGAGCCGAAAGCAGCAGAAGTGACTGGTGAGGACTGTGCTTGGCAGGTGCTCCAACCAACAGAGGTTGAAGGACCCTATAGACTATCCCATAGGTACCCCAGTAGGGTCCTATAAGATCTATAAGGTCACTTGACCTCTCTTGGAAGAGCAGGAAACATCAGGAAACAGTACTTGTTTGACTGCTTGGTGGGAAGGCGTAGGGACGGGAGGTTTACGGAAAAAACGAGTAATTTTGGTGTTGAGATGGCCTGCCATGTTTGGACACATTCCGGAAGTCCAGGTGTTGGAAGCCATGAAATGATTCTTTGGAGCTTGGACGTGTCACCACGTGTTTTTTCCTCTGGCACAAAGAGCCGGGGGTAGAATGCAGCTGTTGATGGACCAATCTGCCAATTCTGCGCGTCTGCCAACAGTGTGATAATGATTTGTTTGATGTAGCACGGCTTCTTCTGCACTAAGGATTGACTTGCAAATTCCTTACAGGGTTTCTCGTTGGTCTCGGTCAGAACCGTTCTGCACCATTTCGCCCACCCATGTGGTTGGGATCGGCTGGCTCCCTGTGGGTCACGTCGTCCGGTGTTGAACGGCGCGATCCGAGCTGTTGGGCTGATGGCAGGCCTTGATGATCTTCAGCTTCAGCTTTCCTTATGGCGAGCCAGTGAGGTATGGCCGTCTGAAATCTGCAAGGAAAGCTTAAATTCCATCAGATTTGCAAGCATCTATAAACACTCAAACCACCTAAAAAGGCACTTGGTTCAGATCTCCAAAAACAGGATTGGCACGTGATGGAAGACACCCAAAAAAGGCTGAAGATTCCATTCAAGTTCTCCATATTTATCAGCCAGCTCTACGTGCCTTTTGTTCGCCAAGCTGCCCGTATGCAGGATCTCCTCTCTCTTCACCCTCTTCTCCATATCAGCTGCATCCGGCAGGGGCGGCACCGTTTCGCTGGGGAAGGTCCACGAGGCGTCCACGATCAAGTGGCCTGGCCGGGTCGGTGCCCTTCCAGTGCGGATCCCAGTCCCGACGAGATAGGAAACAAACCCGAACGCTCCAAATAAATGGGACTGGCATATGTTCATACATTCTTGGGGTGGGTAGGTCAAGGGGTCCATGTAGGTAGTAAACTATGGGATGGTCATCTTAGATGTTCAGGATCCAACTCCAACTTCTTTGGGAAAAAAGAACCGCACCCCGCTCGGGTTGTGGACGAAGTCGGGAGTTCGTCCAGCCGACCCGGACGGATGAGGTGGTATGGTGGCGGAGGCCAGGCCTTCACAGGTGACCTTGCTGAACTTCTTGCTGTGATATCCTGGGGGAGCGTGAGTTGACGGTCATCCCTATCATGTTAGATGATCAGATGGATGGATCATGTTAGATGATCTCACAGAACTGTGCATGGTGATTATGAGAGTGATTTAATGGAGATTCAAGGGGGATGGCTGGTGACTAGGGAAGAGTCGGAACAAAATTCCGCCCTGGCAAACAGAATCAGGTTTGGAACAACTCCAGTTCCGCTTGGACGCATGCGTTCGGACTGGCATGATGGACGCATGGTGTTCTTTTGAAACCCCCCATAGAGTCTTTAGAGCGGCTCGGAGCTGGCACATCTGTGAATCCCGAACGTCCATGATCAGTCTGCGCTCTCCCACGTGCAGAACCGCAGCAGCACCAAAACGACTGAACGCGTCGCATGACACAGAACCACCGCTACCGCTGCACCACACCTTCTGGACAGCGTATGTTCGTGTTCCTTGCGGAGGAAAACGAACGTGAAAGAGAGAGAAGGCACCTCACTGGCTTGGAACCTCACTGAGAAGGAAGCAAAGAAGCGCGAAACATCATGAAACATGACCATCGCCTGAAAACTAACATGGATCCGGGTCGAATGGCACCCTCACTCATTCAGGTTCCATGTTGATTAACCTTCCAGGGTGTATCATCACCTGAATAATGCAACGTACGTCCCAATTTGAGAACCCCAACATCACCAACCCTCCACACCGAAGCCTCCATCACCCCAAGCGTCGTGTGGCGCCCTTCTCGGGCGGCGCGTTGGTCACGGGCAGCACGTAGCGCTTGGGCGCCGCCGTCAGGGAGCCCAGCGCCGGCAGCCAGCACTCACCCAAGAAGTCGTCGGATTTGCCCATGTCCGCGTCCCAAACCTGCCCCGTGCTGCCCTGCCCGGTCTTTTTTCCAGCTGCCCGGTTTGATTTCGAGGTGATTAGGTTGATGGAAACACATCATTGAAGCATTTCTATTTGACATGGAGGCCTATCTCATCCTATTGCAGTACCATCACTGTCAGGTCTTTGGTTGGTTAGGAAGGACCTAACAGGTCTCAATTCATGACCCGGAGGCGAGCGGGTCCTACTGACCAAAAAGAGTGGACGGAAGTGGAAAGTGGAACAGCACATTCGCCTGTAGAAGTAGACTTGGGTTGGACCGGGACCTGGCGTGGTCGAGCACTCATCAATATATCCCTAGGGCGACTTCACCAGGTTAGACCCCCTGGCACCCACCATAACCATCTTCTCAGGAGGTAGTTGGAGCCTTAGGGTATGATCAATACACCATACATCTAAGTGCATGTCGTTGTGCCGAAACATGACCGAAAACATCATCGCTGAAGCTCGCTCGGTCGGTGACCTACGCAAAACGCAACAACCGAGACATGGAGAGAAACGAAGCGGACGGATGAGTTCCACAAATGGCACACGAAAACCAAGATGTGGGACCCGATTGAAATCTATTGAGCCTTCCAGAACTCTCATACAAAAAAGAATCACAATATGCCATACAACCTCGTACAACCTGCTACAAGCACCTAATAGCCTTAGAACATTGGAGCAATTGACAGTCTCCACAAAGTACGTGTGGGAAAAAGAATCTGTGGTTCAGTTCCTACCACCATGTTCCCCTACCCTTGACGAACACCGTGCCTCCAAGAGTACTCCTTGACGAACATTCAAGGTGTCCATCAAGTCGGCATCTGCTTCTTCCTGCACTGATTGATCACTGGCTGGTGGATTCAACCAACTTGAAGAATATTAGTCAATGGGTTCAATAATCCCAAATACACCAGGTTTTCACATGGGGAACCCAGGAACATCTCTCTTTGAGCGCCGGAGACTTCTCATTTCTTCTAAAATGACATCACCGTCCCGCTACGGGAATTCCGGTTTCTTTGCCACCAAAGTGGGTGATGAGAGAATAAGAGCTGATGCACCATCCATGAGTTTCAAACAATGTCTGTTTCGAACCTATAGATGCCTTCTTGGCTCTGCTGGCCTGTCTCCAAGTACCACTCCTTTGCCAGGTCTTAAACGTCGCCACCGGCGACCCATGCGACACCAACCCTTTCCAAACAGGTCGACCGAAGCTGGTCATTTCATGTCACGTTTCGAAAACGAATGAAACCTCTGCATTGAAAATGCTTCTACAGCTTGCCCCGCATCTCCTTGGTGGGATCTGCAATGGTCACGTCCTCAATCCAATGCGAAGGCAGGTGCTTCCGGGGGGAGGTTGGGCTGGGATGCCGGGTCTCTTCACATCGCTGGCTTGAGCCGAGCCCTTAGTGAGAAGATCGTCAAGTGCCAAGTCGTCCCAGGTAGTGAGCCCCAACAAGTATCAAAACAGGCAGAGTGTGCCCCAGGTGGTTGGAATTGTTCCAGTTTCAGATCCATTGTCAGATCAGCTGGCAGCTGTCCCGAGAACACGATGAAACCAGGAATGAAAGGTGATCTGGCAGAAACAAAACAGGCACCCAAACCAGGACAGGGGACCTGGACCTTCTGTCAGGGAAGTGGCCCAGTGAAGTGAGCCAGTTTTTCTTGGGAGACGGGGTGGCACTTGTGAAGGCCCGCTAAGATGGACACTCCTAGTACTACGGTGGCTGTGGGCAGTTTCCTGCAGGGAGGGCCCTTGAATCACTTGAACCTGGGAGTTTTGGAAGGTGTGAATCAATCCACACACTCCCATGGCAAGCTTATATACCTGCGGGTTCAAGAAGGGTTTAATCGCCTGCCACACATGGAGTGTCTGGCATGTCCGATGGATGGAATTGTGACCTGGTCGACTTGTACATCAGCAATGAGAGCATGATCAAATGTTTTTAGCCGCCACTTCAATTGCCTAAGGCAGGAAGCTGCAGGCCAGCGGGGAAACACATCCCGCTATCCCCCCGATCTCTCTCTCTCTCTCCCCCTCCGGGCGTGGCTCCCTGCTAAATACATGTTTGATACCAGCACCTTCCAACGGGTGGTTTTTGGACACCCCTTCACAGCTAAGGGGGTATATATAAATAGAATTCTTGGAGGGTCCTGGTACAATCATGGTTTCTCAGGCTGTGCTCTTTTGGTGCCTGCCATCCATCTGGTGTTCTCTCGACTCCGAGGGACAGTCAAAAAGGCTTTCACCAACGAAAGCTTGGTGGAAAACACCACCATTGAGTGTTTCTTAAAAGGGGGAGGCCACCTGGCCCAATGGGTAGACTGGTGTATTTTCCTTCTTCCAGATGGTCTTTGGGAGGTCATTGACTTCCTCTCAAGACCTAGTTTGGGATCATGATGGATCATGTGGCCTCGTGATGGATCATGTGGCCTCATGATGGATGATGTGGCCTCATGATGGATCATGTGGCCCTCCAAGAAGGGCTCTCAGAGATCCCCCCAAAAAGCTCACTTCGCAGATGCAAGAGCTTGATCATTGATGCAAGAGCTTGATCGAATGTCTGCCGAGCATCTAAATTGATGGCGATACCGTCTGGAACGTTGGCCGTGCTGTTGTCGCTGGTGGAGAATTGAGCCAACGTCTCGTGCAAGATGCTGCTGGAGCAGAAGCAGTTCACGAACTCCTGCTTTCGAGGCACGGTCTCAGCTGCACAGGAGCTGCACTCCCTGGAATCATGGTTCCGTGCAATGGTCCCTTGGATGACCATTTTCCTTTCCCTCAGAATCCGGGCCATCAAACAGAATCCGGGTTTGGTGCGGCCCCGAACGCCTGCGAAGAGGTCGGGTCCAACCCCTGCCATGGACAGCCCATAAGGATTCTTAGGGTAACTGGTGGTCCTCGATGATTCCAGGGAGTATGGCAAACATCCCCATGACCGGCACTGGGACCGCCTAAACGATCAGCGATCAGTTGGGGAGTGGGGGTCCGGCAGGTCCAAAATGGCCGGGCTTAAGCTAAGGTAAGCTTGAATCCCTACTGAAACCATTTGCGGGGGTTTTCAGCATGGGGCTCCAAGGTTCTTCCATTCACGTGAAGTAAAGGATCGATCGTGAAGGGTATGAAAACCATACGCCCAAAGCATATACGGTAGGTATGAACAATAGTTGCATTTGGCGAAGTCATGAAATAGGGGTGGTTGAAGTCCGGGTCAATGTAGGTATACCACGCAAAAGCACCCGCACCTGCCTGCGCTAACCGGTGCCCTATCGGTGCACTTGTGGGTGTCTCGCCCCCGGTGCCTACGCTAACCCGTGTAGACACCGCGCTGGTCGTGAACCGCAAGACCCGCTCGCGCCTGCTTGTTCAACTGCAACTGCAAGTTGGCCCCCTCCGGGTCCGCCTCATAGTCGTAATCCAACTTCACCCGTCCGCCCCTCAGGGCACCATCGGGATCCACCGGGATGCGGCTGTTGTACCTGGCGAGTGAGGCAGAAATGCCAACGCTGGATGGTCTGATCAAGCCCCCCATATGGGTATTATGAATGGATATCGTTTTACACTCCAAATGGGGGAACTTCATGAATCACGGAGTCTACATTTGCCCTTCCTTCCTTAAGCTTCTGCTTCCCTCTTCTGAGTGGTATCTAAGGTCTGATCTTCGCAGCTGGTCTTAGGTCTTGTGTTCGGCAAGACCTTGCTTGTGTCCAACACCCCTGATGGTGGTCACCCAATAGATCATGCTGTTTCCTCAAAAGTCCCAAGGAGGAAAATGCATGAATCATGTGACAAACAGCTCAACCATGCGACAAACAGCACACATCTGAGTTTTCACGGTGTATGAGACGCTCATTGCCAATTCAATTCCGCCCCGCAGAAGTGCTAAGACAATTCCGAAACCATCCAAAATGTATGAAAGAGCTCCTTGCAAGAATAAGGCTTTAAAAAGTCCTCAATGATGGGAGAAATGAGTTGTAACATGTTGTAACTATACATTGCATTTAACTATACATTCCAGTCCCGCCACTCTGACACGTGCTTTCAGGTGCCCGGTGAGGCTTTCCGTCCGGCCTTTGGCCATCTCCCGCGCGGCAGTAGCGAAGCCACAAGGTCTTGCTCTGACCAGGGAAGGGATCCTGGAAAAGCGACTGTACTTGAGCAATCATGAGCAATCATGACTGATAGACTGATCGACTGACTACCCCTCCAAGCAATTCACGGCCTAACCCAGACACCACACATGGGACTGCCATAGGACTGCTGCCCCATTGACCCCCAGTCAACCACCCCTGGCCTGATCGGCATATATGGCAGTCCCATGGAGTGTCTGGGAATCATGAGCATACCAAAACATCACCCAATTTGGGGGAAACAAAGCCAACAGAAAGGCAGCCGAAAAGCTGCCCCCCCCCCCCAAAAAAAAAGGCAAGATCGCCCTTGTGGCTCGCCCTTGCCGTGAGTGTTGTGACGGTTGTCTTCGTGGTTTGCCGTTTGGGCACTGGCACTCTTCGCAACAGTGATGGCAAAACGATGACCCGATGACCCAGTGAAACTCTGGGAAGCTCATCCAATCAATTTGAAGACTCGAAGCAACCGGTATGGACACCCACATAAGTGTCTATCATCTACAGTATGAATTTGGACGCCTCAATTCAATTGTAAAATAAGACTTAGGATTGTAAAACCTCTTCATACTTTATTATTCAAGAGTCTATACATTACATGTGTTTTGGATTGTTGTGCTTTTGTCACTGGCCATGTTGCGGTTTCACTTCTTACTAACTTTGGATTCACTTCTGGAGATGATCACTTTGGAGATGCTCTGCATCCACCACTTGCTGCATACCAAGTGCCGCTTCAGGCTCATAGTAACAGAACGTTCCAAGGTGTAATATACTTAAACACCAAATGATACCAATATCATCCAACATCCCAGTGGAATAGTTACATAAGTTACAGTTACATATATATACATGAGGGTCAACAAAAAGGGTAGATGTATGTCACGATTTCAGGCATGGATGGTCCTGTGCCTCTACCTTGAACACTTTCAGCTTCGCAGGGAGTGCCTGTGCCTCCTTTTGCCTCCCCTCTCATGGAATGGCTCTCTCACTCGGCAGCCGTTGTTCTGCCAATTCAGGGGCTCCTTGATCTCCAACATCTGCAAGTTCAAGGGCCTTCCGCCCGAGTCGCGCGACACCTCTGGAGTGAACAAATCCAAGCCATAAGAGCTCATCATCACTTGCAGTTCCTGAGGGGACTTCGGTGTCGTGACGAAGAGGAAGATCAACCACCCGTGGGTCTACGCCGTGTGGGCTACGCCGTCCACACGGCTAAAGGGCTGGAACAGGTGGCCCAACTGGATGCCAACCCTCGTACGAACTCCATCCCCCACAAACGCTCTCACGTCACCCAGAACACAGAACCTTACATGCACAGTTCCCCTCATCTGTGAGGTTGGAGTTCACCAGTTGTCCGCGCAAAGAACCAGACTCAAACGAGAGTGATTGAGGGAACTCTCGAGCTGTCACCGGCAACGGCCCAGGCAAAACATCCATCAAGGTCCACGGTCAGGACGTACACGAATCCATCCATGTCCGAAGCTATGTCTACACTCCCCACCCCCCGGCTAGTCCTAAGATCCTCCCCGCAATCTTGTACAGAAAGATTGTTGGTGGCTGAACACATCTTGAAAGGTCCTTCTGAAGAGCCAGGTCTCATGCGCCACCACCATGTACTTCTTCATATCTTGCCATTTCCTTCCAAGCTCAGCAAACTCCTCCTTGGCCTTCGTCAAGCCTCGGAGGTCACACGAGGAATGCCATTGCTTCGACCTGAATGCCATCAAATGCCCTGATGTGATCACCTGACACATGGATTGAAGGCACAGCTACCCACTGTTCGGCATGAAAGAACCTCTACCACTCAAAAATGCTCCCTGAAAGAACCACGGGAAAGTGGAGTTTATACAGTCTACCACCTCTTATGTCATTCAGATATTTCTTTCATGGTCATCCGAGTCCGTCCTAGAGGCGCCCCAGAGAGTGGCGCCACGCCCGGATGGCTCGTCAGTCTCCAGGGCCCCCCTCCGGACGAGAAAGACTGATAGACTGATCGACCACCCCAATGTAGGCATATATGCATATATGGCAGTCCCATGGAGTGTCTGGGAAATGACGGCCCATAGATGAAGAGACCTCACCAGGACCAGGATCATGCGCAAAAAAGAAAACAATAGAAAACATCCGCTCTTTCTCATGAGTCATCGCCCAGCCCCATTTGGAGTGAAAATCGGCTCCTGCCATACGCCCAAAGCCTCCAAAAGCAGCCCCAACCACCGCGGCTACCTGCCATACAAGGCGCTCTCGCTGGCCGAGGTCACATCCCCCTCGATGATCAACGCATCGAGGATGCCCGGCACAGCTCCACAGCGGCTGAAAATCCTGGCCACTGGCAGAAGAGCAAGCTCATCAGGAGTTCCAACTGTAGCCCAGTGGATCGCAGTTACCACTATAGAAAGAACCAGGGATTCTGGTCCTTATGGTTTTAGTCTTTAGAACCACTGGTTGCCAGCTATATATATATATAGTAGTAACTGGATGCCCTGGGTAGATACACTCCAATCATCACGGCTATGTGGCAGGGCCGATGCCCAGGCCCCCTCGCACCTGGAGGGCCGCCAAACGCGGGTGTTCCCCAACCTCCTGGAACCTCCTCGAACTCAAATGCTGTGCCACTTGGGGCCACCTTCCGTTTTGAGGAGTTCCACTTGAAGGCGTTTTCCCACTTGGGACTTTGACATGCTGTGGCCCTTTCGTGCCTTCCTGTCTGTCTGAGTTGTCTACTGTCGGGTCCAGTCGGTCAGTGGGCTGGGTAGTCTAGTGGACATCGGGTGACCCAGGTGTGTGACCCAGTCTAGGCCCCTTAACCTGGCATGCGCTCAGAAAATCCATGCGAACGTCACGCCGAAAAAATGGACACCAAAGATGGCGGTAGTTGTTGTTGCCTCTCCTCGCCACCATACAAATTGGCCGGTGTCCACCTTGTCACATCAAAAAACACCGGAGTATAGGCACTGGCTTCTGAAAAGGCACAATTTATAGGGAATCACACTTTGATGGCATCCCGCCTCTGGCGCAATAGGCTTCCACCGGAGACCTATGTTTTGGGTGTGGATGCCATCAAAGTGTGCTAGGGTTTAAGTTTAAGTCTTGTGACTCTGCCTTTTGAAGGACGTCGTTGTCTTTTTCCAAAATCTTACTGGATGCCATCTATATATTTGTTCCAGGATCTACCCTCAAGGGGTTGATGACATATCAAAGGTGTTTTGTGAGTGCCATCAAACTGTGATTCCCTATAAAACTTGTTGCGACTTCCAACATCATCCAACATCCATAGATATATTGCAAGAACAATAGCATGAACAAGCAGGCCCCCCCACCAAAAAAAAAAATATATATATAAGTAAATAAAATAAACATAAAGAATGTCAAAAAATAAAAAAATACAAAGATTGGGAAAATGAGGAACACTCCGGCCCCTCCAAAGCCGCCCAAGGTGCTGATCCGCCATCAAGATCGCTTGCCGATGTGTCACCGGGTGCAAGCTGCGGTTCAGGATGCCTCTGCGTCGAGCAAAAGGGGTCTGTTTCGAGGGGCGAGTGGTTCGGGGTGAGGTGTGGAAGTGCTTCTGAATCCAATCCAAGAGATTTGATTCACATGCAGTAATGAAGAACTGAATTGTGATAGAGCTAGTTTCATCATGTTTCATCTCTTGTCACACGAATGTATTACGTTAAAATGATTGGTTTTAAAACGTGAATACGGTTATATATATGCGGTTGTAACGACACTGAATGTGAACATAGAAAACATGGGATATATGATCTATCCTCTATGAGTTCTTCACCAATTTGCTTTCTTCGATGACCACTTGAGAAGGATCAGGGCAGCAGTCAAATCTACAAGCAAACAAAACAAAAACAAAGTATTCGAAGTCTTACCTCCTTAGAGTATTGCGTCGTGGGTGTACCACTATGAAGGGGAAAAGTGCGCTCTTGGTAACCAGGCCTGCAAGGAAACATCATGACACCAATGACCAATCGGTCCAACCTTGTCCGCCTGCCGCGTCACTCGCACGCGAAAACGACCGCGTCACTCGCACGCGAAAACGGCATGCTTGCTGCGGCCTGCGACGATGACCCGACAGGCCGGCAAAGTGATCAAGTTGGGCTTCTGGGCGCTTTGTCCAGCCACGGTGACCTGCGCCTTCTCACAAACCGCCTCGGCGGTGAGAAGAAACGTGTTCGGAGGAAAGGAGAAGAACCCCGGAGCAGGGCGGATGTTGGCCACCCTTGGGCCCATGGGTTGGCCGCGGAGGTGAGGTTTACCCTAGAAGTCGTGGCCCACCGAGCTGTTTTTAATAGCCTCAATGCCGAAGCAGCGAGCTGTTTTACCTAAGGGTTTTACTACACTACAATTCAACCCAGGTCATCAACCCAGGTTTTACACTACAAACATCTACAAACCCATTGGTCTTTGACTTCCAGGGTGCCAGGGATGATCCTCCTCCCCATAGGATCTGACCGGTAGACCGGCCACGAGGCCCACGCATGGAGTTCATGGAGTAAACTGTCGACATCTGAGCAATGATAGGAAAACCCAGCTGAAACGAATGATAGGAAAACCCAGCAATGATAGGAAACCAGTAGTCTGTTCGCTTCCGTACTTTTCTAAGTGGATATAATACTAAGCGATCAGCTGAAAAGAACCAAAAGTGGAACCGCTGAGCACTCTTGAGTTGCTCAAAGCATCGAATCCATCACCTGATGAAATCCTGATCAACCCTCCAAACCTCATCTCTCTGTCTTCACCTTACCCCTTCACCCGACTCCACTCCTCCTATACCATCAAGGCCCCCCCAGCATTCCCCCTCGCCATCTTCTCGCTTTTCCCGCACGGTGTTCCGCACGCACCTTCACCTTACTTCCGCCGCTTTGCCACGGCGCCTTGCGGAAGACGGTGCGCTCCACGGAGTATTGCGCGCCCCATTGAGTGGACCATTTCCAAATCTTCTCTTCCTTCGACCGGTCGCGGCGCACCGAACGCGTCAGCTGCGTGCGGAAGCTGCGAGGTTGGGCGGTTGGTGCTTGGATCGGATGGTGTGGAAGGCGGTGTGTGGGAAGACGGTGTGGGAGCGAGGTGGAGCGGTTGGTGCTTAACTGTTGGGAAGGGTGAGACCCTAACCTTCCAACGACCAATTTAATAGGCTGAATCCCGAATCAGCTAAGGATGTTACACTACAAAAACCAAGTCAACCATTGTTTTAATATGTTTTAATATATGTGTTTAATGATCTTGGAAGTGTAGGGTAGAGTGTAGTGACGTGTAGTCACCTGTCCTTCAAGTGAGTAATTCCTGGTCGGCTTCCCACAGCCTCGTCTCACCCGTCGATGGCCGGTGCGCCGTGACCGAACTGAACAGTGACCGTCGCAGACACTACCGTTAGGTCTACCCTTTCAACATACCCTCCATGGTGACCCGTGGCACGACCCGTGGCACAGGGAGACTGAATTGCTCTATCCCATACACTCCATGTATGGAATATATATATATATACCCTGGGAGTCAAAGACTATAAAAAGAATGGTCTAACTAGGTGACACGAGTCTAGGAATGTCCTTTACTTCAGTCGGTCAAAGTATAGTCTTTGGACTTCTATAGGGTCTATGCCTACATTGACTCCGACTTCAACCACCCCTGGCCTGATCGGCCGTCCTATGCCAGTCCCAGACAGGTCGTGTCTGGGCACGTCATGCCTTGAAACCCCGGCGCCGTGGCGAAAAAAGCTGTCCTTGTTCCAGCCGTGATCACCTGCAGCCAGCTTCTTGAAGAGCTGCCCAGTGACCTCGTCGGAAGCGGCGCCCGGAGGCGGCGGGACTTCTCTGACCGAGCTGAACCTCCAACGACCGGTTTGGCCCGATGCCAAGCCCACCCAAAAGCAGTTTAAAAGGCTCTCGCTCGGACGAGCGTTAGCAGAACGCGCGAAGCGTACAGCCGCCGCCTCGTTGCGGCGCATGGTGCGCTCCCACTCCACATACTTGCCCACTTTCGGTGCCATGGCCAGGGCATTGGAGACCTGCTCAGGCAAGCAGGGAGTATGGTCCCGAGTATATTCCAAACACGACCTGTCTGGGACTGCCATAGGACTGCCGTATATACGGCCAGGGCTGGTTGACTGGGGGTCAATGTAGGCATATATGCCATACATGGGGTATATGGGTATATTACAGTTTTACCGATATACCATTGGTGTAAGGTTTGCCCTCGTAGTCGGTGAGCTCTACAAAACAACCTTGATTGACACTCCCTGAAAGAATCCTGACTAAACTTGAACAAAACAGGTTTTCTACTTCAATGTTATTTCGGGGTGAGAAGAAGAATAAAAAGAAGAAGAAGAAGAGGAAGAGGAAGAGGAAGAGGAAGAAGAAGAAGAAGAAGAAGAAGAGCAAGAGTAAGAGTCAAACGATGTCAAACGTTACTTGATCATGGAACGGGGTGAGATTCCAGCATTCACTCCAACTTCGATTCCAAGTTCCCCCCCTTTTGCTCTCCGACGCGTGGACCACCGGACCACGGGTCGGCAGGCACCGCGTCAGCCACACCGTGCCTTGCGCATGGTGGTCCGAGGATCCCATCGCTTCAACTGGATCTTCTCGCCACTCTCCGTGTAGGTGTAGACCTGCGGGGAACACCGAACCAAACCGAAGCAGGAAGAGAGCTGTTTTGTCTACGCCGGACGTTCTCCTGCAGCGGCAGCCTTCGCTGGTGTGGAACTGGTGTGTTTTTTCCCAGACGCGACCTGTCTGGGACTGCCATGGACTGCCGATCAGGCCAGGGGTGGTTTCGGGGGTCAATGTATACCTGGAGCACCGCTAGTATACCTTTTCCTGTCCATAATGTAAAAAGATGTCTTTTAAAGACTTGGACAGGAATTGTTGTCCGGGACGTGATTTCCCGTAATGGTTGTTTTAGACCTTGCTTGGAGGCTGCAATGCAGTATAAACCAAGAAACCATATATGATAAGGCAACTTGGGCATCTTTAGGATAAAGATCTTATATACGCTCCAGTTGTTGCCAATAGTGGGTTGGCGCAAGGGTTTGAATCCAAATATATGATTGCATCACAGGGTTATAAACATCTTGGCCTTTGACCCCTCACATAAGAAAGAAACAAGGGCCATCAAGGGCTCCAATGACACTTGCTAAAGGTATGTCATATCAAATTAAGGATGTAGGCAGTTTCCCCTATACCACCAACCACCACCCCACACGCCTGGAAGCGATTCCTGGCACTACCAGGGGCGCCTGTCGTCTCCCTTTGTTTTCACGCGAAGGCTCAGTTGGGGTATAGCTGAGCCGGCACGCATTTGCGTGCGTGGCCAATGAACATGGACCGCGACACTCGCTTCAACATTCAAGTCAATTGGGCATTCAAAGTGATGTTGAAGATGGACTGCGGTTTCCGTCGATATCCTAAAGGTGGGTCGAAGCAACAAACATCCACCCTGACAGGTCCTTTCCATGCATGGGTACTTCTTGAATTCCAGGATGCCAAATGGTCTATGGGCCCAACATAGGCAGCCATTAGTGATATAGTGATCCAACTATATACAGAGGTCCACTTTGTTTATATACCGTATATGTCTGATTGACAAATCACCAGTGCCGTAGCGGATGTCGCATGATGTCACGGGTTCCAGTGCTACGGCCGCAAACTCGTGCCCCTGGCCTGCTTGTGCATGATGCGATTGCCATTGCTAATGGGTACTGTGAACAAATGTGGTTCATCCTGCATCGCATGAGATCTCAATGGGATCTGTTAGATTGAGCTATAGAACCAAATAGATTTGCTTGATTTTGTTACCAGATTTTTTTGCATTCTTTGTCTTGTTATATGTTGACGGCCAGCTTTGTCAATGCAAGCTTGCACCTCAGCAACTCTCATTCGTGCAGCCGGTCCTCCGCAGACAGGGGATTGCTCAGAGGTGAAATCAGGGTTTGCTAGGCATGGCCAAAACCAAGGCCATGGCCATGTGTGTGCAAGTGCGGTCTCCGGCTTTGAGATCGCAGGATGGTGCTGCTAGCCAAGGCAGCTCTCCAAAAGGTTCCCCTAGAAGTGTGGTGGGGGACTATGGGCTTGAGAATGTCCCTGTTGAATGGGACAACCATCCAGCAATCCGAGAGCGCATCCGAGATGAGAAAAACCTTTGCCTTTCCTACGACTTTGAGAAGAGGGAAGCTGTTTCAAAGTATGTTGAACCCACCATTGAGAACCTCAAGATAAATGAGGCAGTGTTGATGCCATTGGCGAAGATCATGAGTCACCACGACCTTCAACTCCCAGCCATTGAGAAGCTCATCCATGCCGTGGCTGAGTTTTTTCAATTGGCCAAGCTCTCCCGGACTTCAGACCAATGCTATCAAGAAGCATGGGCACTGCGGCGCATGATTGGGAAACTCAAGAGGTTTGCATACAGAAGCACAGCCCCACAGGACTTTTCATCACGAAAACAAACATCAAATCAATCCAGTCTACATGTTTGTTGGGTGGACTGTTTTCGGCAACTTTGCCAGAAACACCAACCTTGTTCAGTGATTCGTTTTTGTTGTGGTGACAACCCCAAAATGATCCCAGGGATGTGTCAAAACACATTATGTCAAAACTTGAAAGAGGTGTTGAGCATATATAAGATTCATTCTGTCCACAAATGGCTCTTGTCTCCCCCCATGTCCTTCCAATGCGATGTCCTCCAGGATGAAAGCATCCAAAGCCTGGTGGAAGCGCTGGGATTCAATCTTCAGGAGGGTATGGGCGCGGCCTAGCTCTCCGCACCATGCAGTCCCAACTGTATTTGACCCAAGCTGCTATATATACATAGTCGGTGTGCGCAGGGGGGTCAAATGATTGCCGCACAGGATGGTTGATATATGATGCATAAACTATAAACCCTCTCGAGTCTTCAAAAACAAATTTCTATGGCACACATTCAGGGCTTTGGATGTTGCTCTATATGGCATGAATAAGTCAAATATGGTCGAATCTAAATGGCATACACATGCATATGCGACTATATAGCCCTATATGAACGCGAATCCCCTTGAAGAGGTCTTCAAATTCCAATATCATGCACAAAATAGATGGTGATCAATGTCAACTGGAGTGAGCCATTTCTCACAAAAACACGCCGCCGCGTGCCAAACCCTCCAGGACTGGCAACCTATATCAGGAGGACGCGATGTGGGCGACTCTTTGGGGGACGATTCTCAGGATCCTGAGCCTGAAGCACTAGCACCAGAAAATTCAGCAAATGGCTACAGCGACCTGTTCATGGATGATCCAATAGAGTTTGAACTCAACCAGATCGTCGATGATTTGGGGCAGAGTTTGCCGGAGGTTCCCGTGGCCGAGCCGCAGACTCTTGGCCAGAAAGCCGATGAGGTGGCTCAGAAACTTGATGAACCTGCGGCCCAAGTGCAGTCGGTGCAGCCTACCCCATGTCGGAGTGATACCCAGCCTCCCATCCTGTCAACCACTCCAACTGACATGCCTTTGAAGTCATTGGTTGCCCATGAGGACTCATTGTCGAAAATCCTCAGTCCCTCAAGTCTTTTTAGTTTTGAAGAAGGCACATAGGATGAATGAAGTCCTCTCCCCAGCCAAGCTTACAGCTTGCCTTCCAGGACTTGGGCGATGTTATGGACATTTCATCTGACGAGGAAGCACCGAACACTGCGCCACCCCAGCCAGTGAACTTCACAGTTGACATGATCGTGCAAGCTTTGCAAGATGTGCAAAAGTCACTTGGATGCAAGTTAGTTCAAACAAAGACTGCGTGGGCTTCTATATACGACAGACATGTCATACTTGTCTCAAAAACAGCTATAGACACCAGCATGCTTCCAAGGAAACGTTTTTTGTATATAAATAGAGAGTGAAGACCTGTTTGTATATAAGCATATATAGGATCAAGTATACTGGATTCATTCAAAACTTTGTGAATGGACCTTTGGAATAGTGTTCTTTCGAATACCTTGACATGTTAGAGCATTGTCCCTGCTTGCCGCCTCCCAGGTTGACCACGCTTCTGCCAAATGACCCTGTCGATGCCAAGCCTGCAGAGCTGGCTGATGCAGAGCCAGCTGCAAAGCTAGCAAGTTCCTTGTCTACAAAGACTCAAGACTAGAGGGCTGTTACATATATATATATACTTGATGAAGGTTTGAACAATGTTGTTTATATAGGCTCTCTTTCCCTGCAATCTTCTGCAGCATGAGTGCGATGAGGTTCAACTTCGGCAGTGGACCCCAACAAAACGATTCACATCTTGTCGGATTCTGTGATGCCCATGGCTTTGGACCATCACGAGACCCAACTGCCCGTTTCCCCTACTCAGCTCTTGAACACCGATGTGGCCATTGAAACCATCAAGAAGCTCGATGAACATGATCGCGAAGTGGAGCAACAGGTATCCCGGTGATCAAAACAACACATGACTTACAGTAAATTGCCCATGAGGCCATGGATTTCAATATTTTCCATGCACAACTAGATGTCTATATTGTTAAAGGGGCTTGATGCATACGTCGATCCGGATTCTCCTCCCCCAAAGGTGAAGACGACTGGCATGAATGGTATTGAGATCCCAGACCATGAAGTCATCACAAGGAGAAAGCAGTTTCGCATCAAGAAAGAGAATGCAGAAAAGAAGAGAGACAGGAAAGCGGAGAAAAAAGATACAGCTAAGCAGAAGGAGGAAAACAAACAAGCGAAGAAAGCTGCCAAGGAAGCAGAGAAGGAAGCCAAGAAAGTTGCCAAGGCCAAAGAAAAGGAAGAGAAGAAAGCAGCCAAAGAAATGGCTAAAGCGGCTAAAGCTAAAGGTGAGAAGAAGACAGGTCGAAGCTCTCGCGCAAAAGCCAGCGAGCGGCTGAGGAAGAAGCCTGGCTGCAAAGCGCATCACAAGACATGGCAAAACGACCATGCTGAAGGAATGATTGAAGAGCCTTCCTCTGTCGAAGTTCGAACTGCAGAGGCTGCAGAGGGCATTCCTGCAGAGGTGGGCCCAGTCGAGGAACTCACAGAGATTTCACCGGTGAAGGGCAGAAGTATGAAGCGCTTGCGGCAGATGAACGCAGCAAGGAAAGCCCGCTGTAATGAGCCCAAAGAAGTGGAGACAATCGAAGAGGCTCAGTCTGAGTCCAAGTCAGAGGTCATGGCTGGAAAGGGGAGAGTGGAGGAGGAGGAGGGTGCAGTTGAAGTTGACGGGAAGAAACCAAATGGAGACGTCCTTAAGAAGAAGAACAAGAGGAAAAAGGTCATGGAGACAAAAGGTGATGAAAGCATGCAGGAGGAAGAGCCAAATGATAGTCTTGCCAAAGGGAGAAAAAGGAAGCCAGAGTCGAAGAAGGACACCAAATCCACAGGAAAGAAGAAGTCCGTGAAGTCCAAGCCCAACACCAAGGGTGGTCATAAGGATGTGAAAGGAACGAAGGGGGCTGCCTCACGAAAGAATCGGGGCAAAGGAAGGGCATCAAAAGACAAAAGCAAGAAAAAGGACAAAGTCTATGCAGTTGATGAGCCCAGCAAAGCATTGGTCCTTGAGGCTCTCCAGGAGTGCCAAAGTTCCAAGTGCACGCACCCATCCTTCCAGGTCCCATCGCCAAGTGGGGTGTCCTACAGC